TTAGCTCCGTTCCCGAACACTTTTGAGCGGAGAAAGTGGGCACGCTACTGCACCTGCCGACCCATTTTCCTGCGAATGAAGCTACTTCCTTGTCTTCCTTGAACAGCGACTCCCTGTAACAAGTCAAATAGGACCCCTTCTCCATTCAGCGACCTGAATAAGACACCCCCATCCCTTGTCGTAGAACGAAAACGAACGACGTACGCTGCGACTTCCTTGTGCTGCTTAACTATTCCGAGTAATTTGTGATGAAGGGGCGGGGCCAGTTTGCCCCAGCCACCGCCTCCCATCAACTCATTGTCGCACTTATTCTATACGGTGATGTTGAGGGTACTTTTAACACGTGTTTTAGTTTTCCAGCGTTCCTGCTCTCATCCGTCTCTTTTGCCCCCTCTTTCCCGGACGTGAATGATTAACGATGGCATGGCTTTGCGCGCCCATTAATCTCTAATCCGTGCTTAGTGACGTCAACCTTCCGGCTTCACCAAGGCCTACAGCGCATAAGAAATGTCATCCGGCTTGTTTCACGTGATGCCCACCCAGAGCCATCTTTTGGCCTTGTTGTTTTTCTTTGCATTTCCTTGCTCGCTTTGGTTCTTCGGCATTGTTTTCTACCATTTCTATCCTAGAACATTTCTAAGAACTTCTGGGCCTTTACGGTCAGTTCCTTATGGTCTGCCTGACCCGGATAGCCGGGCCAAGGTTCAGGGCCAGCATTTAGGCGTCGTCAAGAAGCACCGGCTGTCGTCACGGCGCCATCGATTTTTCGTTGTTCAGTGAGCGCGCGGCCGCGTTGTGTGCCTGTCTTGTGGTCGTCAGGGGTCTGTAGTTCATCGCATTTCTGCCAGTTCTTCTACCATTTCACGATGGATGTTGATGATCTCTACGATTCTGCTGACGACGACATAGACGGTGAGTTCAATCCTCATCGAGAACATTTTAAGTTTTCATTTTAATCTTGTTGGGAAGGCCGGTGGTCTATTAAAGAGGGGCAGGGGGCATTTTGTTAATCCCTGTGAGTACACAGGTGCAGTCCTGTTAACTCCTGTTAATGTTACGTGAAGCAGTCGATTGCAATTGGGGCATTTTTGTTCATTCAAAAGGATTTACGACCAGGGCACGTCGTGCTGGTGGGGAAACTTTTCGTATAAATACGACACCTCCCCTCCTGCAACTCCCCCTTACCGATCACACCGATCATATCCCCGGAGTCTCGCAACGTCCTGCCTTTTTTCCCAGTTTTCCAGAATTCCCCCACTTTCTTCCCAGTAAAGTTCCGTACGAGCAGGGAGAAGGTGGCAGTTGCTAGTAGATAGCGCAATGTGACAGCTGAAAAAAAGCATGAGAAAAGTCAAGCAATCGACAACTATGTCAACAGGGTAACCCCCCCCCCTCCCGCCCTCCATACGACCTACGTCGTCTCAGCGTTAACGAACTGTGTCCTGTTTACGATCATCTAGAACCTAGGAAAACTGTTCACCTCAAAGTCATGCTAGGCTTGGTTACGTTGATAATGGAACCTCCCATACCGACAGTAATTTATTTCCCTTGGACCACAGTACCTAGGGAATGAACAAACATAATTCTAGAAAGAGTGGAGAAGCGTACGCAGAACAATTTCGGGTTTTCTTGGGCCACGTGCTGCCGAACTTGGAAGATCCTTTGCAATAGACCCTCTCCCATCTAAAATTGATCTCCGTGTGACTGCGACCCCTTCAGCCCTACAGGCTGCCGTATTTTGGATTTCGTGAAAGTCTATGCCACTTTTTTTCTTAGAAAACAGACAGCTTCGAAGGTAGGGGAGGTAGGGAAGAGGACTATATAGCAAATCAGCAACAGGCAACAGCTGAGAAAAAGAAACACTAAAGCGTTTTTCTAAAGGCAAAATTCGCTCACCACCCCCCCCCCCCGCGACCTCAGCACCGAATACGCCGCTTCCTGGATGAAGGATCCTTCAACCGCTATGGCGCGTGCTCTTTCCGTCTGATAGACTTAGCACGTAGGTGAGACACGTTTTGCACGGGTCACCCAGAGTCATTCCTCCTCATACTCTTTGTTTAAATATTAGCGTTGTTGCATAGATTCTGTTACCCGACTGATTCTGTAAAATATCTCAAGAGGTACCAGCCTGAAGGTTAGGTATGCACCATCATCATCCACTACCGACGCCAACGCTCAGGCAGCTTGTCGATTCCATCGTCCCAGAAGGACGGGGGCTGGGACCGAAAGAAGGCACAGTGCAGCCACAATCCACACTGCTAACTGGTTTTTGCATCGGTAAATTGTGCGCATTGTTAGTGCAGCAGGTTGGTGAAGTGATAGCTAGTTCCGGTTAAAAGAAGTATCATTAACCATGTCCATGCCACGTTGATGACGAATTACCAAACTCCATGCAAACGAATACGGGGAAGGAATTCAAACAGGGGCCGAAAAACGTTGCACTCAAGCCTAATATCTTGTCTGGATGCACATGCGCTTCCTGGTCTTCTAGACATCTTCCGTGGAACCAAAATGCGGCTCAAAATATGTCTGCGTCATTCTTGCGTGCAGCGGCCTGAAAACACTGTCTTTAATTCTCCTTTCATTTGTCTTATGCATATTAGCAAGGTCTCTTATTGCTCTTATCATATTAGCAAGGTTCAAGAAGCGCTTTTCGCCTAAACTTGCTTGAGGAAGCTTCAGATTAACATAACTAGTTTCTCCTAGAACTTCTTCTCCCTAGCCTTGGGCAAAGTCCTGATCCACTCGCTATCGCTCCTCGCATCGGCTAGCAATCATTCTTCGCATCTCTCAGCCCAAAGTGCTGTTCATTACGGAAGGAAACGATTGAATTACGTGGAAACAATGCTTGAATCCTGAAAAAGCCATCTGCAACTGCGGCTACCGTATTACTGCTGCACCAAATGCCCAGTGTATTCGACTAGCGCCAAAAAATAAAGTCAGAAGGAGGGCTGCCTTGCGTAGCTCTACAGGAGTTTAGTAATTCCCTTTTTCTTGTAGTGAAGGGGAATGTTCATCGTAGATTGTGATCTCTGCAACAAATACCCATCTTACGGAATACTCGTGGGAGTCCTTGCAAAACTGCGTTCATATTTTACGTCAGCGTTCTTAGCATTTGGGAGAATCAGCGTCTGAGCGTTCAGGCGAAAAGGAAACTATAGGTATCGATCGGCATCCGTAAAAGACAGGCACCCAAAACGCCGATGCTCCCAGTACGATGGGGCGATATCTATACTTTCCTTTTCGCTCACGCTGACGTTCCTCCCAGAACGCTAGATCGATATTTATGATTACCTTTTCGCTCAAAGCGCTCAATACGCCGACGCGAAGTAAGACCGCAGTCTGAAACTTTCGTCCCGTGATTTGACTTTGAAATTTAGTCCTAAAAATTAAATTTTTGATAAACGCAGACTCAAAGTGCATTTCATGATAACTCAGTGATAGCTGCTGTAGAGAACCTTGGGATGGAGTTTCTACTCGGGCACGTCCTGCTCTGAGGAATCTGAGCAGGAGGGGTCGTGTTGAGTCGCTGGAGGGAGGGGTCGCAGTTTAAGAGCAATTCTTGTGATAGGTGATTTTTTTCCTTTCATGGGCGCTATGCCCATCGTTGAGTTAGTCCAGTGGTAATGGGGTCGCATTAGCTCGTCGTTGGGACGGACAGAGGGAGGGAGATGAGTTCGTACTTTCCTTGGTGCGAAGTTTGCTGCGTTGCGGAAATTTCTTTTCGGTTCTTGATTATTGCGATTTTCCTGTTTCACTAGTGATAGGACCCCTCCCCCACTCTCTACGGTAAGAGAAAAAGTTTTGTTTTCTGGAAAATTCGGATTTCGGTAAAAGTGGTGGAATAAAACTGGCAAGATAATAAGTATGATGGGGAACAGGGGTCATATTTTAAGAAAGCGGCAGGACGTGCCCTGGGTGCTACAATTAAAAATCAACTGGCGACTGAAACCATATTTACTGCTCACTGTGAAATTTTAGCTTTCTCTCAAAATTTTCCATTTTTCAGATTATTACGATGACTATGACGATGACATGAATCCAGACGTTGAAGAGTTGAAGAAGAGCGAGTCTGAAGATGCAGAATTTGAATGCCTAAACGTTTTTCAGGTGCGTCGCTACCGTTTCTTTTCCGTTGCTACACTTACAACAAAATTTTTACGCCGGTTCCCTCAGAGTAGAATTGAAAAGGAAGATGCAGGGGTAATTTTTTGTTGAATCTCTTACGTGGACCTTTAAAATGTAGTTCGATTTTGCTGCGCGCTTTCGGGAATGTCAGGAACGGGCTGAAAAACTTCAGCAAAACCATAGCGGCTCACTCTTCCGTATGCATTTTCACGAGATCGCAGTATAAGTGGGCCTCACTCAGAGAAAGTTTCTTCCGAGGTGTAACACTACCCCTCCTCCAACGGTCATAGGTGATCTCAATTATGATCTACAAAAGAATGATGTGGTCCCGGTAATGCTGTTGAGGGATCGCTCGGAACAAGTTCTGGACTTCATATTTGCCAGACTATGTTCATTTTTCAAATTTCATATAAAAATCTCTCCCGCTAATAATCAAAGAACTATAAGGCCAGAAAAAATCTTTGAAACTCACTTAGCATTGATATTATCGAACTATCCCTGAGCCTCATATGTTGTAGAATCTTCTTTGAAACATTGAATTGAGGACTGTTCAAGTTAATCAATCAATCAATCAATCACTTAGCATTGATTTACTCGATATAATACTCCTTTTTTGAATTTGTATTCTTTACCATAAATTTGTAGTATCCAGCAGGTGCTATGTGACAATGACGGAATTTCATAATGAGAATTCACATTCAAGCACAAAAGGTGATTATCACATTTTTTTATCAACGAGCGTTCTAGGTAGAACGGGTACTTAATGAGAGCGTTGCTGCGTTAGCCGAAAAGGAAGCAATTTCACCTACACTGGCACGTATGCTACTTCATGCGAATGAGTGGGATGTAAACAAGGTGAGTAATGACTTTACTGCTTGTTATCGTTCCTTTACGGCTGTAGAGACAAATTAGTTCAGCGTCTCCTGGGGACATATTGCAGCTGATATAGCACAGGTACACGGTTCTGTAAGTTATGTACTAAGGGATGGTTGACGTGTCAGTGGAGACCCAGAACGCGTAAATGACGTGTCTTAAGACGTCACTGACATTGATAGGCACATGTTTCCTCACCATTAAAGGCAGTTGGCACGATGATTTGGTGCTCGGCCTAAAATGCTAGTAGGGCGCTATATAGTGGGGAAATGGCGAGAACGGAGTGAAACGGTCAAAATCCTGCGAAGAAAGAGCCTCCGTTCTCAATGTGTTAGAAATCAATTTTGGACGAGTTTCCTGTAGGCATCTTGCCAATAACCGCTACCGAAGGTACGGCTGCATATGTGTACTCATATATCCATGCAGCATCACGGCCGCTTCATACCAATCCCTTCGCTTCATAATTTGCTTAGCAAATGAATCGATTAGAGCGTCAGGAACGGTCGTCCATTTGTGGGCGGGCGGGCGTTTGGGTCGTAATGTTGTGGCTAGAACCCTTATAAGGGCACCCTCTTGGAAAAGGCATTATGCAGCGCCTGCTCAGGGTCGCGGAATTCCGTCCTGCCAGGCGTATTAATCCTACTCGTCTTGGGGATTTATCGTGCCAACTGCCTTTACCGATTTCGTGGCACGT